TGTCATGGAAGGAACTTTAATGTGTCACAGCAATTATTTTTTGGTACTTTTTCAAGGTTCAACATCTCGTTTTGTGTAGAATTCTAATGTTGTTGTATATAGGATTACCATGATGCAATAACAAGTTACAGTTGCTATAGTAGTATGGTTTCTCTCCCCCTATAAACTAAATCAGTGACTCCTGTGTGATAAGTGAATAGACATTCTGTAATACACTGTGTCCTTCTATTCTTTTTTGTCAATAATATCTTCAGCCTAATATCCTAATAATAAACCGTTTTCAAATACACATTGTATTTTATTTCTGGCAATAGTCTCAGTGTGAGATGCATGTTGGAGCCATAGGAGACAAGATGCAGTAGCAAACATTATTTTTAAATAATAATAATGATAATATTATTAATAATAATAATAATAATAATAATAATAATAATAATATATGGATCATTTTAATGTTTTTTTTTTTTTTTTTAAAGTTTGTTGGTTCTCTGTCTACACATGGCTCCCTGCATAATACATTTTTTGAAATGGTTTAAATTCAAATTATAAACTGTAATTTGGGCAATTCCATACAGATGATATGCTTGTTGGAATTGCCCTCTATTTTAACACAAAATAGAGACTTCATTTAGAAACATATTTGTTTTTCTTTTTGTTTGTTTGGCAGTATATTTTACCGTCAGGGCATCCACCATGTCTGGGTTGGCTAACGGGTTTAAACAGAGCAGTTTGGTGCCATCAGAGCCTTATGTGTACATATATGTGGGAATACAGCTGCAGCTCTTTGGCCTTTGGCCCTTTTAGAGATTACTGTGATTGGATTGGCACGGTCAGGAAGTTGGCACAGATAACTTGGCTGGCACAGGAAACTGCCAGGGGATGATGGGAAATAAAGACATCATTGAATGCAAATTGTGAAGGAGAGAAAACACGGAAAGAGAGGGAGAGCACAGAAAAGAAAAGGCAGAGAAGGTGGTGTGCTTCCATTTCTTATCCTGATGTTCACACATTATTCTGTAACAGTTTAAGATTAAAAGGTGTTTTTAATTGTAATGCTGTTTGTATTAATTGTTGTTGCTTAATAATTGTATTTTCCCTCGTGGGAATGGTGTGTTTTTTTCGACAATAAAACGTGCCGTTTTGATTAATTCCCTGAAAGCAGACTTTAGATGCACTTCAGGCAAAGGGACAGTATACTTTGCTTAAATCTAACCTAAAGTATTGACATAAACAAAGGCATCAGGCAGGAAGAGAGGTGAAGAGGGTGAATTGAAGTTCATAGGAGATAAACCGTGAGACCAGGTATTTGTAGGATATTGTTTCAACAAGCCGGTGAGGTTGCTCTGCTGAATAATATCCTTCCTCTGTGCCAGCACTAATGAAATCAGAGCTCTGATTACTTTAACCCTTTCCAAGGGTCATAATTAAGATGTGTGTTGTATAAATCATATTTATGTTCCTGTCGTTGCCAGTGTTTGCAGTCTCAGAGACACACATATCAGATTAATCGCTGTTGCAGCTTCACATGGTTTTATGGCTTTAGATATAAAAACATTATTAGAAGCTTTCTATGTGTCGATCCCGCAGGAAACACACCTGCCTTTTATTGACACATAACAACACAACTGGATTGATAATTGATTTTTGACAGCTCGACAGGTTAAATTATACAATGTGTGAGTGTGACCTGCACTAGCCAGAATGTATTGTATATCTGTGTATCTTTACCTTGAGTTTTTCTGATTTGCCCAACGCAAGTTATAATTTCAGTAGTGTTTGGAACGGACAGCATACCTTGAAGCATAAGGTATTCGCTCTCCGCATTAAGTTCTATAATCAGAGTAAGCTGTACTGACCAATATTGGATCTCTTATCCCTCAGGAGTTCAAATATTTCAGATACTTTGTGAATGTGATGTGAAGAGACCATTGTTTCCTCATGCTTCTGGGTGTATAATCATATCATTGAATATCAAAGACTGCTGAATGACTCTGTATTGCAGCAATGCGTTACTTGTCTAAATTTGGATTTGGTGTCTAGGACTCATTTCACCCTGAAAGCTGATCAACCTTACAGTAGTTGGCAGCCTCCTTATCCATAGTCTTTAATGCCAGCGGAGCAGCTCTGCTGAAGCAATCAGGGATTAAGTGTCTTGCTGACGGGCACTTTAACATCAGTTAAGCACTGACTCACCTTAACACACCCACGTAATCTCAATCCTCCCACAGTGCTCTAGACCAATAACTATTTCTGGTAACTGCAATATTTCTTTCCCTTCTTTTTTCTAGGTTGGGTCAGCTAAAACAAATACATGATCACTTTTTAGAAGAAAAGTTGCCTTTATACATATTGTCACAACCTTAACACAAACTGGAGAACCCAAATGCACGACCCAGAGACAGTCTTTAATGTAGTAAAAAAAATGTCTTTGATTTCAAGAAAACAGAAAATCCCTCTTAACAGAGTAGGTACTTTAACAAAAAGTGCTCACAAGGAGGAAAAAACAAGCGTAATAAAAAGAGAATTTAAGATTAACTTAAGTTTACAAAAATAACAAAATCTGACTTGACTGGAAATTATCCTCTTAGTTGAAGCTTGGCACGACCATCCATGGAAACAAACAAGACAAACTGACACAAGACAGGGGGAGACAGGACTATTTAAACAATAAGTGAGTGGGAACAGGTGAAAACAATCAGGGGCGGGGCAGGCGCTGACGAGGGCGGGAAAACACACAAAGGGAGGAAGTAACAGGGCCTGAAATGGCAAGAGGTAAGTAGAAAATAAAACAGGAAATGGAAAACGAGACATGACATGAAACACGGGGACTAGACTAGAGATGAAATGACATAAATAGACAGACATGACATGACGTGAAATAACATGAAAAGACAGACATAACACATAAACATAACTAACTAATTTGATATGACACAACAGTACCCCCCCCCCTCTCTAGGGACGACTCCTGACGGCCCAGGCTGATCAGGACGATGCTCGTCGAAGTCCCTGATCAGAGTCTTATCAATGATTAGCGAAGGGGAAACCCATAAGCGCTCCTCAGGACCGTATCCCTCCCATTCGACCAGGTATTGATGTCCTCGGTCCCGTTTGCGGACTGCTAGTAGCTTCTTGACCGTGTATACCGGGCCCCCGTCGATGATTCGGGGCGGTGGAGGGGCCTTGGAGGCGGGAACCAGGGCGCTCTCCTGAATAGGCTTGATTTTGCTGACGTGGAATGTGGGGTGGACCTTAGGAGACCTGGGGAGTCGGAGACGCACCGAGACAGGGTTAATAATGTTTTGGAAAGGAAAAGGACCCACAAACCTTGGTGCCAACTTCCTGGAATTGACGTGTAGGGGTAAGTCTTTAGTGGATAACCAGACTCAGTGACCCGGTCTGTAGACGGGAAACGCGCGGCGGGAACGATCTGCTGCTGACTTCATCCTAGCAGACGTCCGAAGGAGTGCCTGCCGGGCTCCGGCCCAGACCTTCTGACAACGTCGGACCATGGCGTGCGCAGACGGGACTTCCTCCTTGTTGGCTGGGAACAGCGGGGGTTGATATCCATAGGCGCACTGGAAGGGAGAGAGGCCTGTAGACGCCGAAGGGACAGTGTTGTGGGAGTATTCCACCCAGGTGAGTTGGTCGCTCCATGACCTCGGTCTCTGAGACACGAGGCACCTGAGGCAGGTCTCAAGGTCCTGATTTAGGCGTTCTGTCTGGCCATTGGACTGGCGGTGGTAACCGGATGACAGGCTGATAGTAGCACCTAGGAGCCGGCAGAATTCCATCCAGAGGACGGAGATTAACTGGGGGCCTCGGTTGGACACAACATCGCTGGGGAAACCATGGATCCTGAATACATGGGTCAGCATTACCTCTGCAGTTTTCTTGGCAGAGGGAAGTTTAAGCAAAGGAATAAAGTGAACCATCTTGGTGAAACGGTCTACTACCGTCAGGACAGCAGTGTTACCAGTGTAGTCCAGTGAAAAAGTCCAGCGAGATATGGGACCAAGGGCATTGGGGCATGGACAGAAGCTGAAGTAGACCCATCGGAGCCTGAGATGAGGTCTTGTTATGGGCGCACACGGGACAGGCAGCCACGTATTCAGTCACCTCCTTTTTTCCACCTCTGTTTTATGGAGAACATCGTTCACCGGATACCTGGATGACATGTGAGCTTAGAGGTGTGAGCCCAGTGGATTACCTTGGAGCGTAATGACACAGGAACAAACAAACGATTATTCGGACACCCACTAGGTGCTGGGCTCACAACATTAGCCTGCTTCACATCAATTTCTCAGGAGACCGCCCCAACCACACAGTTCAGTGGAAGGATTGCCTCTGGTTCCTTGGCAGTAGGTTCTGGCTCTAGAGTTGTGACAGTGCGTCTGGTTTTCCATTCTGAGTACCCGGGCGGAAGGAAATCGTGAAGTTGAATCTGTTAAAGAACAGAGACCAACGGGACTGACGTGAATTAAGTCTCTTGGCTTTCCTGATATACTCCAAGTTCTTATGGTCTGTCCAAACAATAAAAGGTTGCTCCGCCCCCTCTAGCCAATGTCTCCACTCCTCTAATGCTGCCTTGACCGCTAGCAACTCCTTGTCACCTACATCGTAGTTCCGCTCAGCTGAGGACAATTTACGGGACAGGTAGGCGCAGGGATGCATCCGGTTGCCCTTGGTGGATCTCTGGGACAACACTGCTCCTATTCCCACGTTGGAGGCGTCCACCTCCATCACAAATTGTCGCTGGGAGTCTGGGACGGTAAGATAAGAACAGGTGCCGTGGTGAATCTCTCCTTAAGAGTCATGAAGGCGGTCTCGGCCTGGGGACTCCTCTGAAAAGAGACTTTGGAGGAAGTGAGATTATGCAGGGGAGCGGCAACAGAGATAAAGTTCCGGATAAACTTACAATAAAAGTTTGCAAACCATATGAACTGTTGCACCTTCTTCTTGTTGGTTAGTGTGGGCCAATTAGCCACAGCACTAACCTTGGAAGGGTCCATCTGTACCTGGTTGGCGGTTACAATGTGTCCCAGAAAAGAAATGGTGGCTGCGTGAAAATCACACTTCTCGGCTTTGACGTATAGGTGATTTTCCAGTAGCTTCTGGAGGACTTGACGAATCTGTGGAACACGGGTTTGACTGTCCGGGGAAAAGATGAATATGTCATCCAGATATACATACACAAATACATTCAATAAGTATCTTAAAATGTCATTGACGAAGGTCTGGAAGACAGCAGGAGCGTTACATAATCCAAAGGACATGACCCGGTATTCA